GGTATTGGAGCAAGGACAGAGTCTAGTAGTAGACCTACACATATATATGGGCACTTGGTTTATGTTTATTGAATTATAGTTGACATACAGTATTACATTATTTGCAGGTATACAACAGTTCAACCGATCTATACATTATGCAATGCTTACCATGATAAATGTAGTTACCATTTGTCAACACACAAAGTTATTACAGTATTATTGACTATATTCCCTATGCTGTACTTTTCATCTCCCTAACTTATTTTATATGTGCAGGATTGTAGCTCTTAATCCCCTTCACCTACTTTGCCTATCCCCCTACACCCCTCTACTTTGATGATCACCATTTTGTTCTCTTTATTTATGAGCCTGTTTCTGTTTCTTTTTGGTGTTTGTTCATTTGTTTTTTTTTCTTTTCTAATTAGAGTTTTTTTTATTATGTTAATCACCATATATTACATCATTAGTTTTTGATGTAGTGTTCCATGATTCATTGTTTGTGCATAACACCCAGTGCTCCATGCAGAATGTGCCCTCTTTAATACCCATCACCAGGCTAACCCATCCCCCTACCCTCCTCCCCTCTAGAACCCTCAGTTTGTTTCTCAGAGTCCATCGTCTCTCATGTTTCGTCTCCCCCTCTGACTTACTCTCCTTTATTCCTCCCCTCCTGCTATCTTCTTCTTTTTCTTTTTTCTTAACATATGTTGCATTATTTGTTTCAGAAGTACAGATCTGTGATTCAACAGTCTTTATTTTTAGCTTCCACATATAAGTGAAATCATTTTGTATTTGTCTTTCTCTGCCTGATTTATTTCACTTAGCATAATACCCTCTAGGTCCATCCATGTTGTCACAAATGACAACATTCTTTTTTATGGCTAATATTCCATTGTGTGTGTGTGTGTGTGTGTGTGTGTTGTGCATACATCACATTTTCTTTACCCATTCATCTATGGATGGACACTTGGGTTGCTTCCATATCTTGGCTATTGTAAATAATGCTGCAGTAAACATAGGGGTGCATATATCTTTTCAAATGAGCGTATTCATTTTTTTTTAAGATTTTATTTATTTATTTGACAGAGAGAGAGACAGTGAGAGAGGGAACACAGCAAGGGGAGTGTGAGAGGGGAAGCAGGCTTCCCGCTGAGCAGGGAGCCCAATGTTGGGCTCGATCCCAGGACCCTGGGATCATGACCTGAGCCAAAGGCAGACGCTTAATGACTGAGCCACCCAGTCTCCCCAAGCGTATTCATTTTCTTTGGGTAAATATCCAGTAGCAGAATTATTGGATCATATGGTATTTCTATTTTTAATTTTTTAAGGAGCCTCCATACCATTTTCCATAGTGGCTACACTAATTTACATTCGTGCCAACATTCTCCACATCCTTGCTACCACTTGTTATTTCTTTTTTTTTTTAATACTTTTAAGTAATTGCTATTCCCAACATGGGGCTCAAATTCACAACTCCAAGATCAAGAGTGGCACACTCCACAAACTGAGACAGTCAGGTGCCCCCACCACTTGTTATTTCTTGTCACTTTGATACTAGCCATTCTGACTGGTGTGAGGTGATATCTCATTATGATTTTGATGTGCATTTCTGTGGGAACCTCATTTATGACAAAGGTGACCCTGTAAAGCAGCAAGCAAAGGACAATTTTGTCAATAAATGGTCACAAGTCAACTGGATATACATATGATAGAAATCAGTTTTGAGCTATATCCTCTTAAAAATCAACAGAGGTAGACTGTAGGTTTAAATGTTAACATTAAAATAATACAAATTCTGGAAGACAAAAAGAAGTTTTGGGGCACCTGGCTGGCTTAGTCTGTAGAGCATGCAACTCTTGATTGGGGGGGTGGTATGTGTGTGTGTGTGTGACTTTGAGCCCCATGCTGGGTGTAGAGATTACTTAAAAATAAAACCTTTAAAAAAAAAAAGAATTTTCAAGACCTTGGGGTAGTAAAAGATTTTTAAAACAGGGCACAAAGAGCACTAACTAGCCCCTGGCAACTACTACCATTTTACTCTATTTCTGTGAAATTAGCTTTTACTTATTTTTTAAGATTCCATATATAACTGATGCCATCCAATATTTGTCTTTCTCTATCTGGCTTATATTCCTAACTGTAGGAAACTATAGTGCCCTCCAGGTTCGTCAATGATATAGCAAATGGCAAGATTTCCTTCATCTGTCAATGGACACTTAGGTTGTTTTCACAACTTAGCTATTGTGAATAATGCTGCAGTAGACATGGGTAGATACTTCTTCAAGATACTGATTTTTTTTTTCCTTTGGATATTTACCCAGAGGTGGAAATGTTAGATCATATAGTTTTATTTTTGATTTTTTGAGGAATCTCCATATTATTTTCCATAGTGGCTGCACCAATATATACTCCCACCAACAGTGAACAAAGGTTCCCTTTTTTCCACATCTTTGTCAACCTTTATAATCTCTTTTTTGATATAAAAGACATCCTAACAGGTATCAGGTGTTATCAGATTGTGGTTTTGATTTGCATTTCCCAGGTGATTAGTGATGTTGAGTACCTTTTCATGTACCTGTTGGCCATCTGCATGTCCTTTTTGAAAAAAATGTCTTTTCAGGTCCTTTGCTCATTTTTTAATTGAATTATTTGATTTTTTTGTTATTGATTTGTATTTGTTCCTCATATATTTTGGATATTAACGCCTTATCAGATATATGATTTTCAAATATTTTCTCCCATTCGTAGACTGCCTTTTCATTATTCTGACTATTTCATTTGTTGTGCAGAAGCTCTTTCACTTGACATAGTCCTATTTTTCTTTGTCTTTTTTTTTTTTTTTTTTAATGTGGGGCTTGAATCCATGACCATGAGATCAAGATCTGAGCCGAGATCAAGAGTAAGATCACCCCAAGTCCCACTTATATTTTAGGTTTTGGGGCCTATGCTTTTGTTGTCTTATAAAAACAAAAACTAATACACACACACACACACACACACACACACACACACACACACACACACACAAAACATCGCCAGACCAATGTCAAGGAGCTTTTTCTTGATGTTTTCTTCCAAAAGTTTTATGGTTTCCAGTCTTACATTTAAGTCTTCAATTCATTTTTAGTTAGTTTTTGTGAGTGATGTAAGGTCTAGGTTCATTCTTTTGCAGGTGAATATCCAATTTTCCTACCACTACTTATTGGAAAGACTATCCTCTCTCCATTGTATGTTCTTGGTCAAAGACTAGTTGACCCTATACATATGGATTCATTTCTGGGCCCTTATTCTGTTCCATTGATCCATATGCCTGTTTTTATCCCAGTACCACCCATAAAATGGAATACAATGTAAACACTGAAGAAATTATATAGACTTATGTTTACTGATATGGAAAACTATGTTATATTGTTGAATGAAAAAACTCAAGTTATAAACAAAAAGTACAACACACACACACACACACATACACACATATTCACACAGAGGTATTTTAAAGGATGTTCATTTCTAGACTGCAAGATTTCAAGTGGATTTTACTTTTCTCTATACTTTTATGGTAATGTTTACTTTCTATTATAGTATTATTTATTCTTACAATCAAAATATTTTATTTTCATCTAAGGTCTTGCTGAATCATCTTGATTTTGCTTAAAAAATATCCTCTCTTTTACAGTCGTATAATTCAGGCCCTGTTTCAGGTCTTCATTATTTCTTACATAGCCATGTAATAACAATAGTTGCTCTGTCTTAACAGCAGTAACACATGATATCTGTATACTACTTACCAGTTTACATAAGTCTTTCAGTACATTGTCCCTAGGCCCAAAACAACCTTACAAGTAAAGAAATAGGAAGAAAATCTACCTTTACTGGAGGGAACAGAGGCAGAGGTGAAAAGGTGGAGATAAAGTCAGTGGGATCAAAAAATCTAAAAAGTGTTATAATTTCTGAACTCTGATGTCAACATGCTCAGATATTGTAAATATTAAATAGTAAAACCTTCTCTCAATATATGAAGATGCCTGTTCAATTTGACAGAACAAAATACAAAATACAGATGATAAATAACAGAAGGTTCATAGTTTTGAAGTAATTAGAAAGATTTTTTTCATGATCAATGAAAGCACAATTTAAATGAATGGTGCAAAGCTAGAATTTAAACAACAAACTCGTTCCAAAGACAAATGACCTAAAGCCATGAACCCATTTTAACATCTAAGCCATCGAAGCTTAATTTAAACTACAAAAATGTCTTCATTGTGCAGAAGATTCAGGTAAAAGAGGCTTCTAGAATTTTTTTGCTTTCAAGAAGTTTTTGCTTTATTGTTTCTTTGCCAACAATGAAATTTCTGTGGAGCAGAATATGCTAGGAAACCAGAAAAGGAACACCACCTTCATCTGATCTCACTGTGACATTGTGGTAAAAGATCTTAAAAGAAAATGATACAGAGCACAAGGATCTGTAAGAAACTGGCCAATTTTACTGCTGTTAGCTAGTAAATGGGAGGATTAAAATGTATGTGAATTTATAACCCCTTGGATCTACTTTGCACTGTGGTTACTTTAAAACTACAAGTGAGAACATTCATAATTTGTTACTTCACACTAAAATGTAAGGGACCAACTGAGTACGTTCAAAATCTATGGTACAGATTTTCCTAACTTCTGTAGCTGTACTTCAGAGGATGGATTAAAAGGACATTTAAGCTTATTAGATAGAAAGGTGTCATCCCCTCACATCAAAGTACATGAAAGAAAAGTTCAAGAATTATAAATTCTTAGAAACCATAAAATATCCTTTGGGGCCTGGCAAGGAAAATGTCAACAAGTCAAAGGAGACTAGATGGCTATTGACCAGTTTCATGAAGGGAGAGCTGCAAGCCAAGATGGAATAATGCTTTCCCACCATGTGTCTAAGGCACAAATGACACTAATCCTTTTTAATGGTCACAAAAGCTGACAACTTACTCAGCCTTAGAACTGAAGGCACAAAATCATCTCTGGGAATGACTCACCATAAACAGGTCACGAGCACCAATGTCAACAGCTAACAGAAATGCCTTTTCAAATCTCTGGTACCTATAAGGAAGAAAACAAATGTTCTATGTTAGTTGTGAACAAAACCATAAAAGGAGAGAGCTGCTAGTTTAATGTATTTATGTTATTGTTTTTTTATTCTTCTGATGGGAAAAATATTTTCAAGCAGTAGGGAATTTGCCTGTTGGGATTTTCTGTATGTGAAACGTTACTGCATTTAGGGGGAGCTGAGGCAAAGCGTCCATAGAGGCCTTCAGTGCAACTTTCAAGGATAAGCAGAACCTAGAGTAGGTGCTGCTGAATATGGGGAAAAGCTGGCTTATCTCTCATAATTTTTAACTTTATTGTGCTTTATAAGAGAAAAGTATGAGGACATTGAGAATATAGCAGGATAAAAGTAATTAACAAATCAAATAACTACATTTTTCTGTTTCTTAGGTAAAAGGTGAGAAGTCAAATGTATTATTACGAAAGTCGTATTTGTGAGTTTTAGAAAAAAATACATCCTAGGCTGTTCTCAAATAACAATAATAAAATGTTTCTAAATATTTTAAAGTATTTTCTAAATATGTGAAGTATTACTTGTCTGCTCTTTTTTCACAATCGTACTATCTTTCCCTGAAGTATAACTTTGATAATTCTTTATGGTGAAAGTTTAACTTTATGCTAAGATACATGATAACTACAGTTTAAATAATTACCTTTACAGAAAGTTTAAGATCTTGAGAGCGAAGCATGTCATGATCATATACTTTTTGCACAGAGGTTTAGAAGGAAAGGTCTTTTTTTTTTTTTTTTGGTCTGAATGTGGAGATTTACACAGATATAATTGTGAGTTTTTCTGACTCCAGAAGCAAGCAGTTAAGTAACCAAGTTGTTCTCTGTTCTCTATTTCATATTGAGAAATACGATAGTATAAAATATAAAGATTTCAACTAAAACATATCAGAAATATGGAATATTAGTTATTACTAATGGATTACATAAATTTCATTAATAAAATAGCTATAATAAGTAAAGTACAAGCAAAAAATTAATGACTGTTCTCCCCAATCTCCTCCTTTGCCCTTCTTACTAGCCTCTCCAGTATTTGCCTGAATTTATTTCGCCTGTGGACGATCAGAAGGCAATTGTGTTTATTTTTGTTCCAGGAAGCTTACTGATTCATTATACTTTCAGTGGAGGTAGGATGTAATGAAAAAGAGGACAGAGGATTATAGCAAGTTACAGTACTTGTTCATACAGTCACCGCTATTTTGCCACTACACTGAAACTTTTCTGGCAATAGTAATCGTCCATCTTCTAATGATCAAACAAATGATAAGTTCTCCTCTTGTGTCCCTTCTGGCCACATCTGACCCTATAAATTTCCCCTCTTTGAAACCTCCTCTTTCCTTGCATTTGGAGAGGCCATTCTTTTGTTTTCCAATTTCTGGCATTTCATCTTCTTAGTCTCTTTTCCTAGTTTGTTTTTCTCTGCCTACTCCACGAAGTTGGTGTGCTTTTGTACTCTTTTATTTACACTCACTACTCTAATCTTCCGACTAACCTTACGTACTCTCATGGCATTGATAATTATATCAGTGACTCACGAATCTCTAGGATCCCTATCTTTCCTGAGTTTGAAACTCTTATTTCCAGGTACTTTGAATTTAAAATGTCTAATATGTTCATTGATACATCAAGTTGGCCATCATATATAGGATAAATTAAAATTGGAGAGAGCGAAATTAAGAGGGGCAAGATAGGATGTATTCTTCTTTCTAGGTGAGAGGTAATGAATGACACTATGATAAAATGAAAGAACAAGCATTGGCATCTGGCAGCATGGACAACCAGAAATACCAAAGGGAGCTCCCAACTAGACTGCCTATAAAACATACATTAAAGTACATCACAGAATTCTAAAAAAATAAGAAAATCTCTCCAAGGGTTCCATAGTCTTAATCAAAAAATAGCAACAAAATGAAATCCCTTCATTAAAACTAGAGTAAAGATCCCTGAACAGAGAGCAAATACTGGAGAGCAGGGAGAGGCAGAACTATCTAAGGGCCATCACATTCAAGAGACTGAGCCCTGAATAAGTCTCAAGGTAAAGGTGCTAAGCCCAAGACTTCTGATTAAGCCAAGGGTTAAAATATTCCCAGGATATAGTCTAACTTTGGCATAAAGAATAAAAAAAAATTCATCTCTGGATTAAAGCACTTTTTTTAAGTAGGCTCTATGACCCCAAGGCCTACATTCCCATGCTCCACCAACTGAGAAAGCCAGGTACCACTGGATTAAAGCGTTTTTTGATAGAAAGGCCCAGGATTACCATCAATTAAAATAAAACAAATGAGTTCACCATCAAAAATCACCAAATGTAGGGGTGCCTGGATGGTTCAGTTGATTAGGCATCTGACTCTTGATTTCGGCTTAGGTCATGATCTCAGGTCATGAGATGGAGCCCTGAGTTGGGATTCTCTCTCTCTCTCCCTCTGCCCCTCCCCCTGCTTGTGTGCTCTCTATGAAATAAGTAAATCTTAAAAAAAAAAAAATCACCAAATGCACAAGAAAACAAGCTACTATGATGGAAAATAATTTCACAGACTGTTTTTTCTTATGGTATCTTATAATTCATATATGCTTTCTGTACTCCTTTTTTAAATTTTTATTTAAATTCAGTTTAATTAACATATACTGTATTATTAGTTTCAGAGGTAGAATTCAGTGATCCATCAGTTACACACAACACCCAGTGCTCATTACTTCAAGTGCCCTCCTTAATGCCCATCATCCAGTTACTCTATTCTCCCACAGACCTCCCCTCCAGCAACCCCCTTTGTTCCCTATAGGTAAGAGTCTTCTATGGTTTACCTCCCTCTCTGTTTTCCTCTTATTTTATTTTTTCCTTCCCCTCCCCTATGTTCATCTGTTTTGTTTCTTCAATTCCGCATATGAGTGAAATCATATGGTATTTGTCTTTCTCTCACTGACTTATTTCACCTAGCATAATACCCTCTAGGTCCATCCACATCATTGCAAATGGGAAGGTTTCATTCTTTTTGATAGCTGAGTAATATTCCATTGTGTGTGTGTGTGTGTGTGTGTGTGTGTGTGTGTGTGTGTGTGTGTAGATACCAGATAGGTGTATAGATAGATAGATATCTATACCACCTCTTCTTTAGCCATTCATCTGTCGATGGACATCTGGGCTCTTTCCATAGTTTGGCTATTGTGGACATTGTTCCTAGAAACATTGGGGTGCATGTGTCCCTTCGAATCACTATGTTTATATCCTTTGAATAAATAACTAGTAGTGCAATTGCTGGGTGGTAGGGTAGTTCTATTTTTAACTTTTTGAGGAACCCCCATACTGTTTTCCAGAGTGGCTGTACCAGCTTGCATTCCCACCAGCAGTGTAAGAGGGTTCCCCTTTCTCTGCATCCTTGCCAACATTGGTTGTTTCCTTAGTTGTTAATTTTAGTCGTTCTGACAGGTATCTCATTGAGGTGGCATCTCATTGTGGTTTTGATTTGTACTTCCTTGATGTCGAGTGATACTGAGCATTTTTTCATGTGTCTGTTGGCCATTTGTATGTCTTCTTTGGAGAAATGTCTGTTCATGTTTTCTGCCCATTCCTTGATCAATTTTTTTTTGTTTTTTGGGTGTTGAGTTCTTTATAGATTTTGGATTCTGGCCCTTTATCTGATAAGACATTTGCAGATATCTTCTCTCATTTCAAAGGTTGCCTTTTAGTTTTGTTAACTATTTCCTTTGCTGTAGAGAAGCTTCTTATCTTGATGAAATCCCAATATTTCTTTTTTGCTTTTGTTTCTTTTGCACTTTCTTCACTCCTTTTCATTCTTTTTTCTTTGTTCTCCTTCAACTGAGTAATTTCAAAAGACTTGTCTTCTACCTCAGAGATTCTTTCTTTGGCTCAATCCTGTCTGATATTGATGCTCTCTACTACATTTTTCATTTCATCCATTGTATTCTTTACCTCCAGAATCTTTTTTTGTTGTTTTTTTTATGATTTCTATCTTTGTAAAATTCTCATTTTGTTTGTGCATTGTTTTCCTTATCTTATTGTCTTTGTTTTCTTGTAGCTCATTGAGCTTCCTTTAAAAAACTATTTTTAATTCTTTATTGGGTAAATCACAGACCTCCATTTCTTTGGGGATATTTACTAGAAAATTATTGTGTTTCTCTGGTGTTATCACATTCCTTGATTTTTCAAGCTTCATGAAGCCTGTGTTGCAATTTTCTCCTTTAAAGAAGTAGTCACTTCATCCAGTCTTACCAACTAGTTTAAGGAATGAAATAGCTTCTATTAGCCCTGTGGGGATTTTGAGTCTTTCTCAGTCCTTTTCTATGGATACACCTGCTCCACACTTCTGTTCCCTCTTGAGGAGGAATTCTTAAGGTTGCATGCCCTCTCTCTATTCTGTAACCCTAGGCCAGATGCTGAGAGCCTCCTGTTTGCTTGCCTTAGGGTAGTCTTTAATGCTCAAGTTTGTGTGCTTTCTCTTAAACCTGCAGAGTCAGGCCAGCTTTCTGTGTGTGATTAGTAGCCATTTGCAAAGGCGCCTGTTGTCATCCTGGAGGTGTGCACAGAGAACCAGCCACTGGGTGTGGCGGCACACATGGAGCATTGGGGATACCTGATGCCAGTTTTGGGGATCCATAAGCAAGGTCTCCTCATGAGTTTGTGGGCAGGCTTCCTGATAACAGTCTGTCAATCAGTTAGTGGGATCTGTGTCCCCATGATGCCCTCTGAGAGCCATGATTGCTGTTGTTCCAGCTGCTCCCCACCACCTAGTTATGCAACACATCTCAGTATTCTAGATGAGGTGAGAAAGAAGTGAGTCTCTGGCAGCATCCTACATAGCTTGGGAAGTCAGGCAGTTATTCACATGCTCTCACTTTTAGCCATGGGAGAAATCATGTGCTGAGAATTGTGGGATCTTGGCACTGAGTTGTGCCACCTTGGGGAAGGGATGACACAGGTAAAGTGAAACCGCTCCCCTTACCCTACTGAATGCATCCAACCTCAGATT